CAATACTAGTTTTCAATAAGCCACATGTGAAACACCCTATAGGTCCCATAGTCTTCTAAAAGCACACGAGCAGAGAGTGAATGGGATTATGGTGTCAATTTTCCAGTTGATTGAATGTACCTCGAACCACTCTGAGTATACTTCTGCAGTATCGAATGACACACCCAACAGTCCCCCTCTGCATACATTCTCCTTGTGACAAATTATTTCAGTGCTCGCCACTTTATTTTTTTGGAACTTTTAACCAAAACTGAATTGGTTAACAAGTAAAACGTTTTGACTTTGAAATCTCAGCTGCTTTATGTAAAAATTGAAGTCTCAATTAAATGGAAATTTAAGATTTCCCAGATTCCTCTAAATCCTGGGTCCACGTTCCTCAAATATTAACTGAAAACACTCAGGGTGGGAGACTGTCTTCCTATTACCGTGACTGTAAACAGTCATCCAGAAAGACCTGCCAATTGTTCTGAAAAGGTCTGATTCCACTTAAACTGTCTCAAGACTAGTTGAATGACTCATAACAGTTACTATTTGAACAGATAGTACCTAGAAGCTTAATTAAAACTTTTCACTGCATTATTTACTATTTGTAATAACTAACAGCCCTTTTTTTTAGTGATTCTTTTTAAGAATCACTAGTATCTATACAAGCCTGGCAGTCTCTAAAGAAAACAGCAGTGGGCCACGTAGACAAACTTACAGTTCAACTACCTGCTTTGCAAGGACTTTGAAACGTTATCGTCTACCCCTTACTCCAAAAACCCAGCAATCCCACTGGTTTTGCTTTCACAGTTTTAAGATTTTGTTGCAAAGCCCGATTCCCCGAGTTCACGCCTACACTACTATCGCTGATGTCAAAATCATTGAGGTGAGGATCGCAACCTGCCAAGGAGCTTACTGCGGTCTTTAAAAAGCCTCGAGTTGCAACTTCAGGGATCCACGTGCTTCTCAAAAATCTATCCTTGAAACGGTTCGGACTTTAAACGCAGTTCGACCCGACGTTACTCGCATACCGGGAACGCAAAACAAAGGACCTAGCTCTCCTCAGTAACCCCGCGGCGCCACCAACTCTGTGAGGAGACCTCTGCCGTTACACCACCCGCTCCCCCCGCGCGAAGCCCGTGCCGGAAGAGAGAGGGCGGGCCTTCCGCTGCGCA